GCGAGAATAAAAGTTATGCCTTCTTTCTTTGCGTGAACATTTGGGCGGCGTTATGCAAATCTTCCCACATAGTGAGGTAGATACGTGGGGGTGTGTTAGAACGAGCCATTTTAGGTAGGTGTGGCTGACTCTTAACTTTTATAAATAATATCTCTTTGGATTTGAGACTTTAGTCTTTGCAACTTTACAGATCTTCTTTATGCACCAAGAGCTTGTAACACTTCAAAGAGAAAGGAAAAACTGAAATCGCATCATATGACCCCTTTAATAAATATCCTAAACTGAACATCTCAGCACTGATGGCATCATGAACATATTCATTGTGACCAGCGGATGGCAGTATGTTGACAGGTTAATTAGTAAAAGCTTCATATCAGAAGAGTTCAGGCACAGGACGACTGATACTCTTTAAACATGACTCACTTTCTCCATAGCAAAAAAAAATACAAAAAAAGATCTCTTTAATATCTTGATTGTTTCTCATAGATGGAGACTTTTGCTGAAGTCTCGGTAAACTACAACTTTTAAAAAATATTTATTTATTTTTTTCACCCTCTCAACAATAATTTTTTCTTTGAAGCTCCAGGGTTCTCACTGTCTTGGAAAACCTCTACATTTTAAAAGTGTGATTTCTAGACCTGAAAAAGTAAAATATATATATACACACACACACACACACACACACACACATCCTTGTTGGTCCTGGAACAACATTTTTGTCAATGAGACGTTAGAAACAGGGAGAAAAATAGGTTTTGAGTCTGGATTGAAGCTTGAAATAGATCATTTATAATTAATTTATTTGGAAAGTTATGCAGTCGAGTCAGTTGTTGATGAATCTTAGACACAAACAACAGACTTTGATGTTGAATGGTCATGTAACGGCCCTTCCTATCAGGCCAAGCCCCTGTCCCTTCATGCGGGAGCAGTTTGGAGTGGTGTGGTCTCCTCTGCAGAGCGCCGCCTCAGTGCCGCACCTGCACAGGTTAGTGCTTAGCCCCGCCTCCTTCTGATCCCGTGACCACTCAGACGCACTTTCACTCTGTCCGATAAAAGCACTGTTAAACTTCACTACAAAGCATCCTGATGCACGACGACCACCTCCACCACCATCCTGACTGAATCCTCACTGAACTTTATTTATTTATGTATTTATTTTATAGCTTGGTCAAGTTGGTCAGAACTGTTCCTCTGTGCTGCACCTGGCTCTCGCTCGCTACTGAAAATAAAATCAAATGTTACTAGTGGAGTGGCAGAAAGGAGAAGGATGTAAAGGTTTCCTCTAGGGCTGTCCCCCTAATAAAAATTATATTAGTTGGTTAGTCAAAGAAAAAAACAGTTGGTGTCCGTGACAGACAAATAACGGCTGGTCCTTACAGTATATTGGGCAGTAAATCCAAATGATCGCCTATTCTTCAGCGAGCACAAATATGGCTTATCATTTGAAATTGAAACATGTAGCCTAAGTAGAAGCAGCTTTGCACGGCCGCTCGCTCTAACGTTAACTGAGATAAATGTGTGCTATTAGGCGCATATTCAAGTGTTTGTGCGGAGTGTGGAAGCTGTTTAGAGTGCTACTGCGTGACATGCAGGTGCCGGAACGATCACTGGTTTCTCCTAATAATAGTGGAAACAAAATAGGGTACGCCATAATTTTTGCTCATGCGGATAAGAGTAATACATCATTCGAAACTGTAAAGAGTCTACTTTTATTTGTATACACTCACAATAGCAACAATATGTTCTGATTTTGTAAAATAAAGAAAACAAACAGAATGCGCTTTCTGCCGCCTCGGTCTCTGCATCACAAAAATGAAGCGAAACTCAGCATCTAGGCTACTTGCCTCACAGACATGAGATATATATCTAAAGTAAGCTTGAAATGTCTACTTTAAAATTAACCAAATGAAATAGAAAACAAATACTCTCTGATTATGTACTCTGTATTAAACTTGCATTTCTCTCTGAAGGCTTGTCACTGTGGAGATGGCGAGTCAGCATCATCAACTTCATCTTTGCAGCTGACACTGACTCAGAAAGCACTTGTTTATTAATAAGTAATTAAAATATCTCCCACCCATAAATATTTACATAATTAAATTAATATAAACGTGCAATTAGTCGACTAATGGCTTAAATGAACGACTAGAAAATCAGGGGCAGCTCTAGATTCCTCAGGGATGTTGATCAGCCGTTTCCTGCACTCATTCTCTGGTGTTTGTGTGTGTTTCTCTCAGCCGTATGCCATCTCTATGCGAGGTCTCCACCAATCGCAGCCTGGATAACTTGGACTGTCTGATGGGAGCGGATGAAGCAGGTCTGCTGCATTGGGACGCTGATGGGGGATTCGGTCAGCGCTGCTCTACACTGGGACGAGGGTCCACCATGGGCCAGGTCACAAACATCATTTCATTCATTTCAAGTTATTAAAGCATCACTGTTACTATTATTATTGATATTACTTGGAGTATGTATATGTTTTTAGTGTAATGCACAATGAAGTAGTGCATATTCTTACTTAACAACTCCCAGAGGAACGTAGCAACCACATAGCAACCCCTGAACACCCTAGCAACTACACAGCAATGCACCATAACAATGGCTAGAATGCGCTAGTTACCGCAACCTAGTAACCCCTAAGCACCTTAACAACCACATAGCAACATCATAGCGAGCCCCAAAGCACTCTAATAACAACAAAGCAACAGCAAAGCAAACCCTAGAACACCCTAGTATCCATATAGCAACACCATAGAAACCCCAAGAACACCCTAGTATCCACATAGCAACACTCTAAAAACCACATATCAACCATATAGCAACACCATAGAAACCCCAAGAACACCCTAGTATCCACATAGCAACACTCTAAAAACCACATATCAACCATATAGCAACACCATAGAAACCCCAAGAACACCCTAGTATCCACCAGCAACAACATTACACCTGCTACATATACACTACACACCAGCCACAACATTACACTTGCTACATACACACTACACACCAGCCACATCATTACACCTGCTGCATACACACTACACACCAGCAACAACATTACACCTGCTGAAGAACACCCTAGTATCCACATAGCAACACTCTAAAAACCACATAGCAACACCATGGCAACCATATAGCAACACCATAGAAACCCCAAAAACACCATAGAATCTGCATAGCAATGCCATAGCAACTTCTAGAAGAACCTAGTGGACACATAGCAACTCCAGAACACCCTAGCAACACCATAGCAACCCCAGAACACCCTAGTATCCACACAGCAACCCCTAGAACACACTAGTGACCACATAGCAACTCCAGAACAACCTAGCAACCACATAGCAACACCATGGCAACTCCAGAACACCCTAGTATCCACATAGCAACACCATAGCAACCCCCAGAACACCCCAATATCCACATAACAACACCATAGCAACCCCCAGAACACTCTAGTGACCACATAGCAACACTCTATAAACCAAATAGAAACACCATAGCAACCATATAGCAACAACATAGCAACTCCAGAACATTCTAGCATCACCATAGCAACCCCCAAAACACCCTAGTGACCACTTAGCAACTCCAGAACATTCTAACAACCATATGGCAACCCTCTAGAAACCACAGCAGCCAAGCATCCTAGCAGAGAGTTTTGCTCTGGCACCGTCTCTCACATTTTCTTCTTCAGATGTAAAATATCTCTTGTGAATGTGTACGCTTTGCATCACAGAGCGAACGCTGAAATGTGTCAGAGAGGTTTTGCTGATTACTTAACCTCAGGAACGGAGTGTTCCAGATTAAAATGCTGTAAGACATCCTTAAGCTAGTCTAAGGAGACGTGAAGGGTGGGAAATCAGTTCGAGGGCATGTTATCAGGACGAGATACTCAAGCGTTCGCTCTACTGATGGAGACATCAAGACTCCTGAAGCGAGACGAGGCTCTGAAATGATTTCTAAAGAGGAAAGAGAATTGATTTTTTCGAAGATCTGTTTTGCTCAATGGGATAATGTGCTGTGAAGACTGATGGATGATTCATGGAGAAGTTGTTTCTGAGATGCAAAGGGAAAGAAGTCAGGAAAAATGAGGACAACAGCTAATTTGCAGCACTCATAAGTATTTTTCCTGGGAATTAGCTTGTGATTTTTTATTTATTGAGCTCTTCGGTATGGTTTGGTATGTGTATCTGTTGTTTGTTTGTCTTTAATTGTCAGATTTATCCTTGACAAACACACACAAGCCTCCTGTTCTGTTGTGTCTCTGTGAGATGTGTCTCCTGCTGGACAAACACTCTCTCTCTACTCTTTACTCTGAGGCTTTGAGATTATGAACCGTGATTGTGTTTGTTTGCAGGTTAGTCTGGAAAAGACTTAGATTTAACCGAATCATTTTGGAGTTGATAGACTCTCTGAGGCATTTTCTCTGCATTCTGCCTGATGGATTTGGAGCAAAACAAAGGGGGAAATTATATTTAAGCAAAAGGAAAATCAAATACTTTTTTTTTTATTACTTGCATAAATATTAAAAACAAGCCTTTTTAGGACATTTAAGAATTTTCTTCCTTTTTTTTTTTTGCATTATGACATTTTTCATGACAACATATTTTCATGACAACGATGCACTGTCTGCCTTAAATTCTCATTACTGTAATGCAGATATTTTACTTTTGTAATTTTCAATAGGGATTCTCATTAGATTCAAAATAAAACATATACTGTATTACTGTATTACAGACAATTTACTACGGCATAAATGAAAACCCAGACAAAAAATACTATCATGTTGTATAAATATTTTACTGTTTAAATAACATGTCATTAGTTTTTTCCACACTACAGTATTTTTTTAAAAATATCATAAACAATAAGGCCACAGTATTATTAGACCTAAAACAGGATTAACTTTTCTGTAAGTAAAATATACTTTTTTCCTATATATTATATTATGTAATACATATTTTTGAAATAATTTAATTACATTTTTTGACAGACAAATACAAAACAATACACATAATGTTTTTCTTTTTTTCTACAGTTTTCCCAGTTGTGGGGGATGTTTCTGAATGATTTTTTGCTGAAATATAGTCTAAATTCCAAGCATTTTTATATCAATTTATAAACCAAACTCCTCATCCACAGACAAGGATCAGTACAACTGTGAAAGGAATACATTTAAGGATTTGTTTTCTCATGTCATGCCACAGTTGTTGCATTAGACTGAATGGAAACCACTCAAGGAAACCTGGCGTTTCCTCATGTCTGCACGACAATGCATCAGTCCACCCTAAAGCGCCGGCTGCATCTCACCCCGTGCGAGGTGCGTTTGTGGGTGGGCAGCGGTCGTCTGCCCCGCAGGCCTCGAGCGGGACATTTCAATGTGCACGTGTCCTTTCAGGTGAAGCAGGGCTACCGGAGCAGCGCGGCTTATAGCCAGCTGGACTCTCAGGCGGTGGAGGCCTTGGATCTGCCCACACCCACCTGCTTCCGCTCCCGGAGCCACAGTTACCTGCGCGCCATCCAGGCCGGATGCTCTCAAGACGACGATACGGGCTCCGTGGACTCCGACGAGACACCACCTATATCCTCATCTATCAGCAGCTATAACAGTGCCACCGGTGAGTATTAAACACATGCAAGCGCACACTCATACAGGATCACATTCATGGACCATGGATCATTCCTTAAATTCTCATTATTGTACTGTATCCAAACATTTTACTTTTGTCATTTTCATTATTTTCAGTAGGGAATCTCATCAGATTTTAAGTAAATATACATACTGTATTACAAATAATTTACACCAGCGTAAATTAAAAGCCAGACAAAACAAATCATGATGTATTTTACTATTTAAATAACATCTTTAACATATTTTTAAATATCATAAATGTCACAGTGCAAAACATCTTATAATTTTTTCTTTAAATAAACTTACAGTACCGTTCAAAAGTGTGGAGTTATTATAATTTTTTTTTTCTTTTTTTGAAAGAAATTAATACTTTTATTCAGTAAGGATGCAAATAATCAAAAGTGTCAGTAAAGACATTTACAATGTTAGAAAAGTTTTCTATTTCAAATTGATGTTGTTTTGAACTTTGCCGTTAAAAAAAAAAAAAGAAGAAAATAAATAGACCTGGTTGTCGTGTATCACAGGGATAGTTCTGAATTTGCACATGCAGAAACAAGGGTGTTGATAAAGTAGACAAAGTCCAGGATAGGCAACATAATGTCCAGATCTCGTGGACATCAGTGATCATGATGTCATTTTATTGCCTCCAAAGGTGATGTCAGTGCAATCAAACAGGCCTTGTTTATCTTTCTCAGTAATAAAGACCTCAGTGTGAAGTCGGATCTCTTTTGCTTTGAGAGGTCCGCATGTGGGCAAGTCCAGACAGATGATCTGGAATCATGGTGTGAGGGTAAAAACAGCCGCTAGACCATGTCGACTGTCTTAAAGAGATAGTTCACCTGAAAAAATGAAAATTCTCTCATCATTTACTCACCCATTTCATCTCAAAAGGCTTATATAGAAGTGCATGAGACACATGGACTACTTTGGTCTATTTGTGGAGACAGACAAAGGCTTTTGGAAGGAGCTGATCCTTTCATTTCATGTGGTCAAGATTGTGGAAGTTTGTTTCCTCCACGGGATAAAAAATAAAGGTAATTACGACTTTTTATCTCACAATTCGGACTTTTGTCTTGCAATTCAGAACTACAAGGTATAAACTCGCAACTGTGAGATATGAATTTGCAAATCTGAGAAGGAAAGTCTGAATTGTGATATATAAACTCAGAATTGCAAGACAAAAAAGTCTGAACTGTGAAATAAAAAGTCGTAATAACTTTTAATTTTTTTTATTCCATTGTGGAAAATAAAACAGAATTGCGAAATCAGACTCAGAAATCAGAGAATTTTTTTTTCAGAATTGCGAGATGTAAAACTCAGAAATCAGAGAAAAAATAGAATTGTGAAATGTCAACTCAGAATATAGAGGAAAAAACAGAATTGTTAGAAAAAGACAATTTCCAGATGTAAACTAGAAGTCTGAGGAAAAAAATAGAATTGTGAGATGTAAAGTCAGAATACAGAAAAAAACTGAATTGCGAGAAAAAAATGAGAATAGCAAGACGTAAACTCAGAATACAGTGGGAAATAATTTTAGAAAAAAATTGAAATACAAGATGTAAACTCAGAAATCTGAGAAAAAAACTAGAACTGCGAGATCTAAACTCAGAATACAGAGGAAAAAACAATTGCAAGAAAAAGACAGAATTGCAAGATGTAAAATAAGCAATCTGAGAAAAAAATAGAATTGCGAAATTTAACTCTCAGAATACAGAAAAAAATCTGAATTGCGAGGAAAAAAACATGTGAACTCAGAAATCTGAGAAAAAAATTTAATTGTGAGATACAAACTCTCGATTGTGGGTTCATAACTTGCAATTCCAACGCTATCTCACGACCGATTCGTACGTATTTTACGAGGTGGCTAATTCGTACGAATTCGTACAACCTCACTCGTACGATTTTGTACGATTTGTCTAGGTGTAGGTAGTTCGTACAAATTCATACGAATTGTGCAACTCGTAACATACGTACAATTTAGCACAAATCGTATGAATTTGTACGAGTGAGGTCGTATAAATTCGTACAAATTAGCCACCTAGTAAAATATGTACAAATTGCCGTGAGATCGGGCTGGCAATTCTGAGGGGGAAAAAAGTCAGAATTGATGTAAACTCACAATTATGAGTTTCTAACTTGCAGTTGTGAGACATAACATAAACTCACAATACTGAGGAAAAAGTTAGAATTGCGAAATGGAAACTCACAATTGAGAAAAAAAGTCTGAATTTTGAGATTTATAACTTGCAGTTCTGAGGGAAAAAAAAGTCTTAATTGATGTAAACTCATAATTATGATTTTTTTTTTTATTACGTTAAGCTTCCATACAAGATCCATTAGACAGCTGCAGTCATAACATTCATAACGTCTCAGATGACCACTGCCAACTGTGTCACAGCAAGATGTCTCTCTCTCTCTCACACACATAAACAAAATCTTCTGACCTACATTAGCACTGGTGGTGTCCTGCGGAGATGAATCCTTCAGCTTAACGGCTAATGTTTCTCAGCCCATCATGACCAACTCTGGCAAAACTTCCATCCACAAATTAAACCTCATCGTAGCAGGTTTTCAGAGGAATTAACCGACATCAAGCAGATTAGTTTGGCACAAGTCTTGATAAACCAGCAGCCACTAGGCCTGAGTCTGATTTTTGCAGTTGATCTACTTTATTTGTATTGCATTTTACTGTATTTTGATAGGTCTTATGATTTAATATATGAAAGGTGGACAACATTCCCATAATTTCATGATGGTCTTGAACAGTTTTGAAAAGGCCGACCGCTTGTGTAAGAACAAAGCACAGTTATACACTCAGAATAGCATATAATGAAATCTAGTCTATTTTTGGAGAGGAATCTGGCTAATGCTATTTAGTTTAGGTAGCAAGCTGTCAAGAAAACCAAACCTTGGCCATCTGTTTACCACTTCTGCACTTCTTCTGCATTAAAAAAACAAAACCTGTGCTATTTTGCCCAGTCCATGGCTATGTTCGGAATAGCATACTACTCTCTTGTGCACAGCAGTTCTGATTGTGATTTTTTTTTCAGTATGCATACTATAAATGAGCAGCTTACTGCATGAAAAACTGTATCCCAGAATGCAATGCGCTTGACTTGACCTTCCATTTCCAGCGTGATGGATGAATCAGAAGTAATATGGGCATAAATGTCTTCCATTTGATCAGAGTGCCACATTTTAAAGATTTTTACACAAAATCGGATATCTTGCTGAATTATAAACATACAGTATGATGGGGTCACATGACCACAATGTAGAAAAATACTTTTTTTTTTTCTTTTAGAAAAGTAATATTCCTTTGAATGAAGTAAAACATATGATAAATGTAAGACTAGGATGCAGTTCATTTTAACACTTAGAAATTGTGACATCTCAGATTTACATTTGGTACTTCAGTACTTTTAAAAGCAAGTACTTCTGTACTTTTACTTAAGTAAAAATCTGTCTTTACAACCTTTCACTTGTAATGGAGTAATATTTGACCAGCAGTATCTGTACTTTCACTTAAGTAATGGAGTTGTGTACTTTGTCCACCTCTGTAATCTAATAATAATAATATAATAATAACTTTATTTTTATATAGCGCCTTTAAAGCCATAGGCACTTTACATAATAAAACAAACACATAAAAATGACAACACATATTTAAAAGAACAGACTAAAACATAAAATTTAGAATAATCAAGAAAAAGCTAACCTAAAAAAAAATGAGATTTAAAAGTACATAGATTCTGTGCATCTCTGATTGTAAGAAGGGAGTGCATTCCAAAGTCTAGAGGCGTAGGATGAAAAAGCTCTGTCCCCTCCAGATCGCATGCAAGCGTGTCTGTCGAACAGCCATTAGCTTGTGAGGAGCACACGTGATGCTTGGGTGTATATAAAGTTAAAAGTGCAGACACATACTGAGGGGCCCGACCATGTAGTGCCTTATAAGTGAGCATAAGCATGCCTGTAGCCAGCTATGAGGTCACCGAGGTCCGGACCAAGGTGTACATTTTTCATGTTCAGAAATAAAATTTGTTCTCTGAATGAAGAATTTGCTACTTAAAGCTCCTTATATGAGTGTCTGCATGTTTAGACAGTTTGCAAGAATGTTTAGCGTCAGTGGTATGAAAATGATGTATTGACGCTGGCGGTTCACTCAAGAAAGAACGAGGCTGGAGAGAGTTGTGAGTGAGGGCTAGGGATGGGCGTATCGATCCAAAGTATCGATATATCGATACTGACGCGAGTATCGAAAGTATCGATACTCAAATATATTATATATATATATATATATTATATATATATTTGAACCATGTGTAAACAAAAATATAACCTAATAAGTTACAATTAAGGCGTATTGAATGTTAAAATGCGTTTTAAACATAAAGTTAAGTGCTTATCATTACCCATTTTACTCTTAGTAATTTAATAATTTAATACATTTCATAATTTAAAAGTTTAGTTCAGAAGTATCGAATCGGTATCGATATCGATGATACTGCCTTGAAAAATATCGGTATCGTATCGAAAACAAAAGAAGTGGTAACGCCCATCCCTAGTGAAGAGAAGGCAAGCTGGGATTCTGTGTGACGCACGGACGGCGATTCTGATTCGACCGCGTCAAGCACGTACGCCCCGCCCACCAGCCAATGAGAGCGCGGTGAGTGGACGCCTCGAGCGCGTCTCTCTCCAATCCCGCGTCCTGGAAGCGGATTATCGGATCGGCTCTTTTTTCCTCGACTCCTCGAGACGTGGATGGTGGGGATCCGTTGAACGGAAGGATATTAAAGCGGGTGGGTTCGGAAGCATCACAGAACAAAAAAAAACAAAATAACCTTTCAGTGGATCTTTCAATCGTTTTTTGTACGCGACGCGATGGAAGTACGCCGTCGACGGCGATCGCTTCACACACAGAGGAAGAGGAAAAGGTGTGTGGATTTCTGTACGCGGCGTCTCGAGCGCTGGTTTTGGCATGAGCTCGAGGTCGGAGGACATCACGAATAATAACGCCATTAAACGCAATTAAGCGCCAGACATGCATTTCCGTGGATCGCTTTAGTGTTTCATTCAGTGATATTTTGATTCGTTAGCAGGTTAGCTCACGTTAGCATGTGGCTGTGGCTTGTGGAGGTGTGTTTATGTTGATGCATCTGTCTAGACAGGCGAGGCATGACAGAGTTGCCTACCTGAACGTGACAGCTTGCACTTTTTTCATGCTAAAATGCTGTTTTAGAGCGTTTCGTGCGTTGCACGTGTGAGATCTGAATCCAATCCCACGCAAAGGCCGGTTTCTGTGTTTTGAATCAGGTCGAATGCCATTGTTTGCATTGCAAAGTCAGGGAGAGATAACATAACATTTGAAAAGAGCATGCATTGTTCTTGCTGCTTCTTCTTCATGCTAAATATGTAAAGGATGCAGGATTCATATCTAAACCCAAACATAAGTTACTCTCCATTGCATGGAGAAATGCATTAATATTTTTGAAGTTTACAGCCATACAAACTAGTTTGTCCTACTTTCAGCAGACTGCTTCTCTTCTTGGTAAACACTGGCTGTGCTTTGGAGAGAAGATGTGCACTTAATCTAAAAACACGTCCTAATAAGGATTACAAGTTTGAATGGGATGAAAAGAACTGGCTCTGTCTGTGTAGTGTAGTCTGTTACATGTCTTTGCATTTATGACTTGTATGGACCAAAGGCAGATTTATAATGGCTGGCTCTTTAAACCAATTTCACTCAAATAATGTTCTGAAATTAAAGTAAAACTAGTTTTATCTTCTTAAAGCAGTCTGGTACTTTTTACTCCGTTAGCTCTGTAAAGCCTGACATAGGAAAAAAAAATATATATAAATATATATAGGGTTAAAGTGATTGTGGCGAACTTAGTTGATGATTTCCAACATGCTTTTAATCATTTATTCACTTGCATGTACATTTTAAACCTGTATGCTGTTATTTTTCCATTGCAGCACAAAATAATTTTAGTTCTTATGCATAAGACAACGTCCAACAGGCTTTTGAGGAATGTTTATCTCTCGATCGTCCATTGTATTGTGTTACATTATGTTTTAAAACTACAGAGCTTTTTATAATAAAACTAAGCATTTAATATTGTCAATATTATGTAATAATTAACATTATATCATCTATGCAATAAAATGCCTGTTAAGCATCATAAAACTAGTCCACATTTACTCATGCTGTATATTTCGTGTCTTCTGAAGTCATGCGATGGCTTTTTAACGCATGTGGTCACGATGAAGTGTCATATGAATAAGAGTTGCGTAAAGATACGTCAGAATTTCTCCTTTTGTGTTTCACAGAAGCCACAGTGCCTCGGTCTGGTCTTATTTTGGATGCTTGTCCTCTGTGTGTTCGCAGAAAGGCCATGCGAGGTTTGGCCGGGGCCCCGGGGCCGAGCGACTGGCTCTAATGCTGTTAATCTGGAACTGAGCCACAACTGTGTCATAAACTCATATCCAGAGGCGGATAGTAACTAAGTACATTTACTTGAGTATTGTACTTAAGTACACTTTTTGAGTATCTGTACTTTACTTGAGTATTATTTTTTCTGGGAACTTATGACTTTAACTTCACTACATTTGAAAGACAAATATTGTACTTTTCACTCCACTACATTTCTATCAAGGTCCTCGAAGTAGAAAGTCGTTACTGTGTAGCAGCTTTGAAAGTCAGTAGGTGATTTTTTTTCTTCTCTAAAACGTGACATTCTTTTTTTCAGACAGTTTATCAGTAATCACTCTTGTAGGGCTACATGAAGAGATTTCCCAGCATTTTTTGAACACTG